ATCTTTTTATATCAACATTTTGTAATCTTACATTAAATACTTTTGCTATTAAAAAGCTAAAACCATAGTTTTGAACCATGTCAAGCACTATAACTTTGGTATAGGATGTGTCTTCATCGAAGATTGTTTTAAAATTTTAAAATTTTGAATATCAAAATATGTGAATTTAAAATAAATATTTGAGGCACTAAAAAACTTATCACCTCTCTACTAATACACCACACATTCATTTGTAACTATATATATAGGATGCTATCTTTTTATATCAATATTTTGTAATCTTACATTAAATACTTTTGCTATTAAAAAGTTAAAACCATAGTTTTGAACCATGTCAAGCACTATAACTTTGGTGTAGGATGTGTCTTCATCGGAGATTGTTTTAAAAATTCAAAATTTTGAATATCAAAACATGTGAATTTAAAACAAATATTTGAGGCACTAAAAAACTTATCAACAACAAACATGTAGATCAGGTCAGCCACTACAACTTTGGTTTGAACTATATGAACACTCAAGGTCGTTTACAAATTCTAGATTTTGAATTTCAAAATCTATGAACTTAAAACACATATTTAGGATTCTAAACGACTTCAAATAAAGAACTCTTCAGCTACAAAGTTGTAGCTTGTATTGAGAACTCTTCGACTTTGGTATTGAGAACTACAAAGTTGTAGAAACCGTACCTAAAATCAATAATTTGATTATTGTGTGAAGTGAAAGATTTTATTAAAATAGACATCTTAAAGATAATTACGTACTTTGCGAACTGAGCAGTTTAATTGCTTAGGTTTTTTATGGTGGAACCTTCCCACCTAACTCCTTAACTTGACAAAGGTGCTCATATTTTTCTAAATTTATTTCTGGATTTAAAGGCACTGTTGTTTCGGTGGAAGGGACATGCCCATCAATAACGAGGCGCATGTGATGATTTCATCAATATTAAGACTTGTTCGCTCAATCTTTCAATAATGAGGCTCCTGTGATGATTTCATCATTGTTAAGATTTGTTCGTTCATTCTTTTAAAGGCGTTCATAAGGGTAGAGTGTGAATCTATAAAATGACCTGGTCATTCGAGGTATCATAGGTCTAGAATGCGTATACATGCATGTACTGTAATTTGAAAATCGTATTACATGTAACTTATACTCGCAAAAGAAAACATATCATTAAAAAGAAAAGAGTAACTGTAAATCTCATGAACATATGCACAAATTTAACTTCCCACGTTTAGAGTATGCTTAATTGGCACCTTAACAATAACATGCCTAACCTTTAGTCATAGGAAGATAATCTGGTTGCTTGGCGGTTACCACAACATCACTTTTGTGACAAGACGCACTTTGTCTAGCTGTCTAAACTAACTGTATCAAAGTTGGTGAGCAATATAATATGAATAGCAAAGTTAAGTAGCAATGTAGCAGTGATAGGACACACTTTGTCTAAGCTAACTGTATCAAGGTTGGTGAACAACCTAATATGGACAGCAAAGTTAAGTAGCAGTTGATGTTTGAAAAAAAAAAGGAAGGATAAAATTGACAAAAGAACAAAACTTTTTTTTCGAGCATCACAAAAGAACAAAACTTGAGGAGAAGCATGTCACAAATCTCATGCAATATACAAATCCAAATAATCCATGCAGGTACAAATTTCATCAAAAGAGAAAAGTGGGTCTGTAAGGACATGTTTGCAATTACCCCCCTAACAAAACTGTCCACACCAATACTACAGACGAGGGGCAGCGAGCGGCAACACCGCAGCAGTTTTCTCGGAAGGCAGCCCTCTTCGTCGTCGCCGGCGACCGCACCCGCCACGCGGCTGTCGGGGATGCCGGTCAGGGTGGTCGACACCGCCACGCCTTCCTCGCAGCCCTCCCCAGGTTCCCCTACCCTCCTCGCACCCCCACCGTCTCCAATAAATACGCTATGCGCGCATAAGGTGCGCTTTGTACAATCAGGTCTAGATCTTATCGGATTATAACTCTTTGTTGCCTAGGCGTGATGCGATTTCGTTGAATTTCAGCTGGAAGCTTTTTTTTCTGATCTAGATTGGTGTAAGTTTAGCTGGAGTTTGTGTGGCTGCAGTTTGATACTGATTCAGGCGGTTTGATCCTTTCTATCGGCTAAATTACTGCTTCCGGAACTTGAGCGTCAGCTTGGGGTGGTCAGTAGTGGGTCTGATGCTTTGGGGCCTTGGAAATTTTTGCGATTTGGTTCCAGTTTCAATTGGAAGCTTCCCCCTGATGACGTAGTGTTGCTAATATTTGCATGCGTTTGATCATTCATGTGTAACGACTGTGCTAGGCGTCCGAAATCATGGTTTCATTATTCATATGAGACGGTGTGCCTTGAGTGTGACAGCATTTCTGCTCATGCTGTATTGCTTGCTGGTTGTCAGAAAACCAATTGATGCCATGTTGATGGAAGTTCTAGTTAATCTGAAAAAATATGGTCGCTTTTCCTCGTGGGAATCTAACTAGTTTTTTGTAGAATTTATTTAACATAAATGTTCCTTTCTTTCTTTTTTCTTTACAGTTACCGTAAAACTGCTTCTGTGATGCTTTTCTAAGTTCAATAGTTCCACATGGCATACTCATTACAATATTCGTTGCAGGGCAAGAAGCAAATACTGGACACCCATCTCCTCCTAGCTGTTCACTCTTAAGTGCTGGAAGAGTAAGTGTTTTTGTTCTTTCATTTGAAATTTTGGCTAATAACTAAATCATTGTGGTCCAGCAAGGTACATGTGTACATATCACTGATTTTGTTACAGCTGTGTTATTAACTGTGATCTTCTACAATTTCCTTTCATAAAGCAAATAGGAGTTCTCCATTTTGTCTTCATCTCTGCCAACCACCGCTGCTCCCAGCTCCCATTTGTATTCTATATTCTACACATTTCACGACTGTTGCTTATCATCATTTTGGTTTTCTGTTTCCTTTTTCGTCGTTCCATGTTTGTGTGTGTGTGTCTTGGGTAGGAAAGGCAGGACCGTTGTTGGATGTGTGCTGTGAAATAACTGTAGTGATGTTTATCCTCAAGTTTCCATTTGATGTTCTGGGATATAGGTTATGGTTTTCACAGTAAATTGTGCAAAATGCAGCTGTGCTCTTTTATATAGCTCAGGCTACTGCTAATAAGCATTGTGTCAGATTTATGATTGAAGCCTGAAGGGTTGCCATTGACTAAATTTGATTGTATGTTTCTTTCAGTCTTTTGCTGGAACTCAGAATGTTTCAAGTCTGCAGAAGGATGAAGCATGGAAAGTGAATGTCCGCATCCATGGTTGCGATCTTGAACAGGGTTATCTATGTGGAACGATGGAAGCACTTAATGTTCCATTAGCAGATACACCTGTGAGTATTCACTTGTTCTTCCACTTTGAATCTGAAATCTAATGTTATGCATTGAAGACAATATTAGTTATAGGTTTGCTAAATAAACAATTGTGCGCCATCAAATTTTTAAAAATTAACTGAGAATTATAGGTGTTGCCACTTGACAGAGTGTAAGACTGGATTTTTTTTTAAAAAAAATACAGAAATAAGCGATGTTTTTAACCTCATGTATTGTCTCTGTCTATAGGTAGTGACATTTTGGGAGGGGGAGATAGTGGATGCTAAAAATTACACTTTTTTCACTGGCAAGTGGGAGGCATCGTGAGTGTTTATGTTTTATGCTCATACCATCTCTATGTATGTCCTGGTGACTCACAGCATTCCAAACTTACATGTGAAAACATCTTTCTTACACTGTTTGCAGACCAGAGGACGATATAAGACATTGGTCCAAGTTCCCATCATTTACGCCTCTTCTGGTAATTGGTTACCTAACTTGGTATTGTTCATCATCTTGAATCTTTTGATGATTTGTTTTTATGCCCTTCCTGCAGAGTCAGATTGAGACAGATGGTGGCAAGTCTCTGGACTTTAGCAACTATCCTTATATATTTATGGTATGGGATTACCTGACCTGTTCATTTGTTTATGGATATGGATTTTATTTACCATTTCTCTGATGCTACATGCAGAGATGGAAAGAGCAATATTTTGTCAATGTTGGAGCTGACTGTGGGTTAACCATCGCTGGTTTCTACTACGTCTGCTTTTCTTGTAGCGATGGCTCCATTAGTGGATTTTATTATGATCCAAATAGCAGGTAATGAATATTTTTTGTGCCATTTATTTGTTGCAAATATTAATGGTATGGGATCGGATTCATTAATGGAGAAGGTGGGCTGGTGTAAACACTTCTTTTTCTCTTCATGTGCAGTCCATTTCAGAAGCTCGAATTGAAGTGTACCAATGAGAAAAATTCTGGATTCACCTTTTCATCCTATGAGCTGCAGTGACAGGCCAGATGCCCTCGACAGATAACAGAACAGATAACTTTCTGTTAGCATATTGTGTGGACTGAACTCATAGTCCCTAATGCTGTTGTATTAAAAGGAATGAGTGGTTGTTTATGTAACAGTTTGTTTTCTAGCAAGCTAAGCAAACTGTCATTTTGTAATCTGCAGAAGCATCTTGTCTTTTATAAAATCTACCTTTTGTATTATGTTTGTGTTAACCATGGTATGATGTGTCCAAATTCAGTTGGATAGGGAATGTGAGGGCTAAATGTTGATTCAGAGAAATGCTATATACCTCTTCCACAATTGTTCTCTGCAATTGGGGATTTCTATTTCAACATGTCTATGATATACACATTGTGCGTGTTCCTAATTACATGCATCATGAATACATGTTTCTGATACAATCATGATGTCGAGCTTTACTGAAGAGAAACTTCATCAAGATCTGATTGTTTTCTCTCACTCAAGTTCCTGGTACAAAGCTGTGGAGACCTTTCGGTTTCACTTGCAGCTATTGTATGTTTTAACTGTGACATAGTTCTATGAACAAAATAAACTTGGGGCATGTTCTTCGCCTTTGCTTTCAGCTTCCTGACATTGTTAGGTAAATGAATTCTACCGATGTAGTTTCATAATGTCTTGATCTCATGCTTCAAGCTGTTGTCCATTCTCTAAGGAATAAAATACTTCTGCATCTGCATTGCATTAATTTACAGTCACTGCTAATCCAATAATAATGTTCTGCTGATAGGGTTACAGGGTTACTCTGGCACATGATCTTACCTTCGATCGCACAAGGATGTGTAGACAGTGGAACAGGAGGTGTTTCTTCTCTTCTTTCCTGCAGAAACCAAGAAGAGATTTCCTTTGCCCTTCGTACCAAAGGCCTCTCAACACTCTCACTCCATGTGTCAAACAGATTGAGGATAGCATCAGTAATTACTTCTGAGAGCAATGTATCATCTTCCCCAGGTTCCAGCTTCAGCATCAGGTATCTGTTGACTGATATTAACTTCTCTATCATGTGCCGCCTATCAATGTTATATGCTACCATTGCCTCTTGGATTTTAGCAATCATCTTGAGCACCATCTGATAGACTGTAGCAAATGCGTTTCGGAACACTTCGGATGCTGCTTCAGGCAGCTCCCTGTCTTTCCAGCCACTCTTCTCGTTCCCCAACTCGCGTTCTATGGTTGGCGCGAATGTTACAGTCTTCGGCTTGGTTGTGTTGACACGGAGCTTCTTCGATTCCATCAGCATCTCATTGGCTTCCTTCATTTCTGACTCAAACCTGCTGCGGACCTTGAAGTATGGTTGCTCCTGGTGTGCAGTGGGGCTCGGGGCCGGTGAATTCTGCCTTGGTGATGCTTCCAGGAACACCTCAGAGGCCCTCTCTGGATCGCCCGCTGTAATAATGCACACGGTAAAACATTTATCACGGATGCTCCACCATAGCGAAGCCATACTACAGTTGAATGTTTTGACTGAATTCAGCTAAAGATGTACAGGTAATACTTTATTTTTCAATTATTAACATCTGATTTGATGTGATGGTGATGCCATGTGGGCCTGTGACTGACATACAGGAAGGCGTGTGTTGCTGCGGTTTCCTGGGGGTTCCACGGTACTCGGCATGCCGTCGCTCCTCCTTGGCCCTGTTGTCTTCTGCACTGGGTCCAGGTCCAGCCCTGGGCGTCCACATCATCTCCTCTTGTGCGGGTTTCTTCTTGTGATGCAGCATGTGCATCCATTTCTTGGCCTTGCTCTTCACCTTGCCCAGCACCGCCTTCTTCTGGCTCCCGCCTGGGGTCCTAGGCGACTCTGTCGGGCTCGCTGGTGGCGCCCGTGGTGAAGGCCAATATCGTTGTTGCTCCTCCCATTCGTAAGATGGATGTTGGCCTGCAAACGAATGTCCACCTCGAGGTAAGCGCAGGCGCATCATCACACTTACTTCATCAAGAGATCGAATAAGATAACAATGTCAAGATGTCGTGGAAAAGAATTCAAGAACGATGAATCAAAACTGGGTGTCCAAATAATCCAAATGGAAAGATCTTTTACCATTTTGGACGAGGTGGTCACTTGGTTTGGTGCTGATCCCACGCTTTAGCTTTCTGATCTCGCTCATGGTTGTGCAGGAACAGGAACCACACCCGATCCAAATCCAAATCCTAAAAGCTTGGGAGGAGCTGTGCAGAGCTGTGCCGGCAAGGCAAGAAATGGATTTGCTCGGCCTATCCTAAAGTTGGCAAACTTGAGGGCAACTTTTACGAGTTATAGCTGTTGCAAGGGTGAATTCTGGGGAGAGTGGTTGCGTCCTGCCCCCCGCTATTCTTGGAGATTGTTTGGTGGTCGGAGGGAGGCGAGCCTTTTGTGCCGCATCTTTGGAGCCCTCCAATGTAGGGACGAGATCTACGAAACGAGATTCATATCTTTGTCGTGGTAGATGCGCCATGCTTTCCGCGTTTCTACAGCATGAATGATACTGATATAGCAGAGCCCAGGGGTTAAAAATCGTTTCTGTTGCGAACAATGTCATTGCTCACCATCAATTTCCCCTATATAGTATGTTCAAAAAAATTCCCCTGTATAAGTAAGCACGGTTGACTTTGTACTTTTTTGGATTATAGATAGTACTACAAGTTAGTTGAAAAACAAAAGGAGATTTTGGAACCCTGAAAAAACAAAAGATTAAAAAAGAAAATAGAAAAGGCATACCCCTATCTATATAAGATTTTGTTCTTTTTATTAAAAGTAGAAGTTCTGTTATTAATATAACAAAATAGACTTGAAACCCTGGAAAAACAAAAGACTTAAAAAGAAAATAGAAAAGGAATACCCCCTATATAAGTAACCATGGACAACTTTGTTCTTTTTGGGATTAAACGGCAGAAGTTCTGTTACAAAAACAAAATAGACTTGAACCTAAATTACAAAAGATCTAAAAATAAAATAATTTGGGATTAAACGGCAGAGGTTCTGTTAAAAAACAAAATAGACTTGAACCTAGAAAAACAAAAGATAACAAGATTACAAAAGATTAAACATAAAATAAAATAATTTGGGAAGACTACAGAGGTTTTGTTAAAAAAATAGACTTGAATCCAGAAAAAAAATCAAAAGAAAAAAATGAAAAATATGAGATTTAAAAATAAAATAATTTGGGAAAACGGCCATAGGTTTTGTTAAAAAACAAAATAGACTTGAACCCAGGCAAAACAAAAGACAAAAATGAAAAATATAATGTCAAGAATGGGATTCGAACCCATGCCCAAATAATTTGGGAAAACGGCAAGAGGTTTTGTTAAAAAAACAAAATAGACTTGAACCCAGAAAAAAAAACAAAAGATAAAAATGAAAAACATAATGTCAAGAATGGGATTCGAACCCATGCCCTTTCGGACCAGTACCTGAAACTGGCGCCTTAGACCAACTCGGCCATCTTGACATTTGTGATGATTGCATTACTGTATTATAATTATTTTATAATGTAATATATTTCTAAGTTCTAATAGACATTTCTCAATAGAATATATAGAATGTAAGATTTACCAACGTCAAGACTCAAACGTCTTCATATAATCCTGCTATGATCTCAATAGAATATATAGAATGTAAGATTTACCAACATCAAGACTCAAACGTCTTCATATGGTCCTACTATGATTAATTAGATCGACTTTGTGCACTGTATATATCGAAGATTGTTTATGATGTACTCTGGTTTTAGATTGATGATGAGCAATTGAGCATAAGAATAGACAATTTTTGTATAAACACATGTATGTGATATTCAACTTTTTATTGTATCAAATAACGATGGATATCAAATCCAAATAGACCTCGTCTAGTCAAAGCAAAGTTAAATCAAACTTTTTATCCAAATCCACTCCCATATCTAAACCAGGTATTGTCTGTATTCTGAAGGTCGCCTACGAGACATGCCAGCTACAGGCGATGAGCAACTGCTGCATAGAGCCCGAAGAAGGCTGATAGAGCATTCAGCTAACCTGCTCTTAACCAAGTTGTGCCGCCAGGAGACTAAAGAAAAGGAATACATATTATAGTTTTCTGAAATTCCTTCATCATTTGAACCCTCCAATTCCAATCATATAAAAAAAATCAATTGCAGTTTTGAAAAACTTTGTTGCTACATCAATTTGTATCATCTGTCAAATAAATAGCCTGACTGAGATGGTTCGCTCACTGTGTCATTTTCTGTGTGAGAAGTTATAGCGAGTACACAATGTTGTACCGATGAAACAGGTTCTCTCCATGCTCTCTGTAATCTGCTAGGCTGAAAGTTTGTTTACCAAACTTGCTTGATGCCGCAAAGGCAGCAGCACCCCTCCACGTGTCTAAAATGGGATCAGCTGCTCTGACAAGCTTCAGGGGAGCGAGGTAGGGCCGATATTGCCGTATCCCAGACTCCAGCCGAGGGATCATGCCAGGGAACAGGGAGCTCCCGCCAGTGACAAGGATTGACTGGCAGAGGCGCTCCTTCACAGACTCGTCCTCCATTAATCTCCTGAGTGAGATGCTGACCATCTCATCAATGCCAGCCTGGTCGATTCCTATCATGCCTGGCTGGAAGAGGACTTCAGGGCAGCGGAACCGCTCGATCCCAATGGCAATCTTGTAATCCTCTGCGGTGAGTGGCCGGACTTTGGGAGGCTCTGGAGTCAGTTGAACAGCTTCGGATTTGGACACAAATGTAGGATCGATCTCCTGCACAATGAAACATCAAATGATATCTGATTATAGCCGAAATTGTTGATATCTGAAATGAAACTAAGATAGGATAGAATTGTCACCGCCAGAAGGAAATCTTGAAGCGGGGATTTTACCTGGAGCTTCGATGCGATTCGAACAAGTTCTGATTCATCGTCATCATTGCTGTCATCATCATTGTCTTTGCTCATCTTGTTGTAGACTAGCCAATCCTCGTCTCTCATTCCAAAAGTGTCCTCACCTTTGCCCCGATCAAATGCAGCTGAGGCAAGCAGACGCATCCTTTCTTTCTGAGCTGCATTTAGCCGTTCTCCACGGCCTACACCACCAGATGAACTATGGTTCCCATTTGTCTGACCACCATTAACTTTCTGTCACTTCCTCTGCTCAAATTTCTCAGAAAGTTCTGAATATCGGGCCCGAAGCTCTTCAAGGTATAACTCTGGGTTCTCCCTATATAGTTGAATGAAACAAATTACAAGAGTAGCATATAATAGAATGTCTGGAAAATATTTAAAAAAAGATTTGAGGTCATTTATCTAAACATGAGGTAGACGATTCATACAGAATTCTAGAGACATAATACATAGGCACAGCCACATTTTCTTTTCCTGTTCAATGCAGCAACAGGGCTCGGTCCTTTGCTCTTAAAAAAACACAGGGCCTTACCTTATGCAAGATTAAAAACATGCATGGAAATACAATTTATAAAGGGTAATCACTATTTGGTATGGCAAAATACACAATGCAGTTTTGTCCTATATTTGAACATTGATCCACAAGGGGTCATAGTATCTAAAGAAGGAACTTGCTGAAAGTGGCTTTGAAATAACTAATACTGAAAATTAACAAGACATGGAATAATAGGAGTATCTTATCATTGGATATAAGAAAGCAAAGAAGATAAATTTCAAACTGGTTATATCACAACTTACGCACGCCTCTTTTCTTCTTGTTTCTCCCGCAAAGCCTCCTCTTCAGCACGTTTCTGCTTAGCACGCAATTTGCCCTCTGTTGTGGTTTTAAGTAATATCTGTTTCTTCTTTTCCTTTAACTGGTAAAATACACAAAAGTGGAATGCAACAATGGTTAGAGATTCCGGGGTATGTAAAGGTGTAAACTTAAGAGAATATGTATCTACAGTATGCACACAATATCCAGATGTTAGAAGCACATGAATAGAATTCTGTAGATAATAACTGAACAAACACACACCTGTTCTGGCGTCAGCGTCTCATCAGGGACAGATACAAGTGGATACTTATCAGCTGCTGAGGCATCTGTTTTCTCATCGTTGCCATTGGACTCCCCTTTTGCTTTCCTTAGGGATTGTGTTGCTTTCAAAATGGCAGATTTGATTTCCTGCTGGGAAAGATATCCAGATCTACCTAGAATAGATGTTGCTTCTTGTTCCTCAGCTTCATCAAGTTGCTCCATTACTTCCTCCAAATAGGAAAGTTGCTTTTCTAGATCCACTATCTTCTGAGATCTCTTTGCAGCAGCCATGTCTCGCAAACGTTGACTAGCCTTTTCCTTCAAAGCTGCTTTCCTTGCAAGTTCTTCCTCAGATGGTGGTTCGTCCTTTGGTGGGGGAACCCATGGTAGCTGCCAATACCTCATTTTCTCATCAGCTTCTTCCTTATTGTTCTGCAGCATGAATTGATCAATCCATGGTGTTACAAGAATGTTCAGTAACAGAGAAAACATATAACTAATATACTTTTGGAAGAAAAGAATCACCATCCCAAGGAAGTACAAGCACAACGATTTGTCAAATCCTATAGAAAGCCCTATGCACTCAATACAAATTCATTCAAAACAAGAATGCAAGAATTCAAAGCTTTATATAAGAACAGAAAAATATATACAAATTTCTTACTTTAAATATCTGCAACTCTGCCATATAATCAAGAGCTATATAACAATGCTCCTTCTTCAGCTCTTCAGCCTTATCCCATGTAATACTTGCCCTGTTCAATGTAAAATGGTACTGTTACATGGTAGGAAAAACAAACGCTATGAAGTACTTCAGAAATATACTTCTATCACCTACATGTGATAGGGATATTTTAGAGAGAGAAGCTGCCTCAGAAAATCAGTAATGTGAAATCCACCAACATTGGTTCTGCAGCATGCCCCCAACACAGGCTGCCCTTTCAAAAACTGAAAAAACAGATCGAACAAGGCTTTTAGTTCAGAAAAACAACAATTTAATTTGAAATACACAGGTGAAAAAAAAGCAGAGATTTTATTTCACAGAAATACTTTAATGATTCTAGTAGAGTTTTCTTTTCATTATTGACTACTATAGGGACCATGACCAAGGAGCAAAATCCATTTTACCCAAAAAAAGGAGCAAAATCCATATTGTGGTTCATATACTCAAGGATGGATTTAACATGATAAATTCCGTATGTCGAACCCCAGCAGAAACTGAAATAATATTTTTTTCCCAAAACTACCTGCAATATCACACTAGATTAAGGCAAGCTTGACTAAAGTTGTTCGGCTAGGAGTATCAGTGGTCAATTTCCCTTAAAAATGTGAATAATGACAGCATCTTGGGATGTCAATAAAAATACTCTGTAGCTGCATGCGAAAGCAGTCTTCAGCAGTGGTAGATTCATTTCTTTTTACCACAGAATTATCAATAGATACAATTCTAGTCATCAAATATTATTAAACATGAATTGCAATATTTAAAACACATATGCAATGTATTTATTTTACTGGACGGAAGACAAAATCAGTCAAACATTCTGTTATATCTGGTGAAAGTTGGAGAGAGGTGTATCTTGGGGACAAGAACTTACTGGAACAACATGACAAGTTCCATGTTCACATGAAATAGCCAGCCCGTCTTCGTTACAGTTTCCAAGTTTCTGATTGTACTTATAACTAAACGCGTTGTCGATGCCAAATGCTACATTTCAGATAGAAAGCAGCAGCATCAGCATTGCAAACCTTATGATAAAGTAACTAATAACATATAACTAGATGCAGCTCATAACATCAAGATCACAGAAATTATTACCAATGGATGGTACACCATATGTCTCGAAAAGTAGTTCTGACATTCGGGCTCGAGAAAAGGACGGATTACATTCACATTCTGTCATAAGAATTGGATGGCCCACCTGTTGAGCATCATTGTTAGCTTTCAACAACACTCAGCCGGATAACAGTTTGGTTGAAGAAAGAGAAGTCACAAATTTCTGGTAAAGGATATATACGGACAGATAATATAGCCGTCTTAATAAATGTCTGCATGTCTGATGCGGATTAACATAACTGAAGCAATGTGCAGTGATTACACTATGGGAACATGGAAGTGCTGATTTAGGAAGACAACTCTTGTTTATGTTTTGGTATCATGGACTGGTAAGGAGAACAAACTTACCAACAGAGTTAACTTGACAACCCATGCTCATTTTGTATTTAAAGTAGAGTAGCTCAATACCACTCATTTATTGTCATTTGCCTTGCCTTTATGAAAGGCTGCAGCTTGAGTTCGTCTTGGAAATATTAGGGCACCCTACTGACTTGAAAAATTCTACTGATGAACTCTGTACAATATAAGAACCTCTAAGATCTGCATCTGGAGAGAACCCAGTATCATCAGATTAATTACACACACTGAACTGATATAAACCACCCAAGGCTCCTGTGATTCAACAAGACTAGCTAAACCAGCACTTTTCTTACGTCTCAAATACAATGCACAGCAAATTAACAAATAAAGGTAAAGATAATAATAGTTCAATAACAACAGAAGAAATATAAATTATTTTGGAAAGAAACCAGGACACAATGCAAATTTACCTCTGAATTGGCACCTAATCGATCAAAGCCATAGTCAAGAATCTGCAATAAATAAATAATACTGTATCAGACAAGAAAAAAGAACAATAACAAGGGCAAAAGGAATATGCCCTAGAGTGTAAACACCATGATCCAGAAAATTAAGAAGTCACATGTTTTCTTTATATCTTTGAGCCATAAGATTGCAATTGGCATTTACTGCCATTATAGGGGACCATCTGAATCATGAGACGGATGGTCACTCGGCTAATAGTGGAGCAATTACTCAATATAAAACAGTTTACGGGAGTATTTCACTATTTTGCTTTGACAATGTTTTTTACCATCAATCATGTTTCAGCCACGGATTATGGACATAAAAAATATCATTTAACACATGTAGTACTTTAGTGATTTTGCCCTAACTAAAACTTCTAATGTGATTTATCGAGAATGTAGTTGTTTAAATGTATTCTAGAGAAGGGTGATGGAACAGATTGATCACTGGTTTATCTATCTTCAAAATTAAATATGAATAACAAAGAACCATCTATATATCTACTGAGAAGTGAGAACTAAAAACTGGTGGATGGTGTCAGAGAACAAACATATTCCATGTACTCGAACTGATAGACAACATCATCATCAAATGGAGAGCGAACTGCTGATCTTGTGCAGTCAAAGAACTTCATTAGAGATGGATCAGTGTCCCCAACAATTGAAACAGTTTCACCTGTACCATGGAAATTAAATTACAATGAGTTGAATAATGAAACTTTCGTTAATCCTCTTGCAAGTCCGTTGATTGAAACAGACATGAGAGTTGAGAGCTTCAAATAAGTAAATTTCTGCTCCTTTCATATAATCATTCAAAACAATATGAAGCTTACAGAGCACTCAGCAAACACAACGATAACAGTAGAAATATCTGGGCTTTAGAACATTTTACAGGATTACTTGTAGCACAAGTACATGAAACGGACCAAAGTAACATGGGATCATAAAACACAATCCTATCGAGCCTATACAGACAACTAAAATTTCAATTTGTATCCAATTCCCGTGTACTACAACATAATTATTTGATGCAGACGAGTGAAATCACACAAACAAATGGAAATCAGCTTGAGTGGTATCGGAATCGAAATCTATAACCGTCCCAAATGATCAACGTACTGTCACACAAGTCATATAAACAACAAATAAAAGAGTAAACGCTCTTGAATCCCCCACAACAATAACGATTCTTAAGAGTAAAGTATAATTCCTGCCAGCGGGAAACTGCACACTCAACTTCTCAAACCGAAAAGCAAGTAGCAACTAAGCAAACACGAGAACAGAAAATCTACACTTCCACGCAGCTTTCAACCACCAAATCAACACGAAGTAGCATTCTCCGTAGCGTAAGGCGGCGTACCAGTGCTGCGGTGGCGCGGCCTCTGCACGACATTGCGGAACGAAAGGCGCGGCTCCGCCTCGCCCGCCCACCTGCACGGAGGCAACCGCCACGTTACAGAATACTGGAAGGCCCGCTAGGGGGTTAGGGTTTGGGGAGTGCCCGGTGCGGCAGGAGCTCTTACCCGATGCGGAACGTAGAAGCGCCGTTGTCGATGACGATGGGGGTGGACGACGGGAAGCGCGCAAAGTCGGCCTCCCGCCGAGGGCGGGTCACCGATGACATCTCGCCGCCGCCGCCGCCGGCGGCGACAGGGCTCACCGGAAGCGGGGGAGAAGAGGGGTTTGGAGCTTTTGGTAACCTTGTCCTTTTTGCTGCGTCGTCCTCTTCCTCTTCGCGACTCGCGAGCTCGAGTCTACTTGGCGTCTTGGCGATCAACACGGGACCGGGAGTATTAGCGTAAAACCCCCTGTCATTTCACATAAGTTGTATGCAGAGCATCAGAGGTCGCACAACATACTCCATTCTGCATTATCTTTCCTTATTATTCCCTCCGTCCAAAGGCCCCGTTCGCGTTCCGCTTCTTTTTTCATCCGGAACAGTATTTTTCTCTCACAGATTCCTCTATAATTCCTCCAAACAATCCAGATTCTTCCAGAACTATACCATCCGAACGAGCCCAAATTATAAATCATTTCAAGAATCTTGGAGAGTTAAAGCATCTCAAATTTAACCAAAGTTATAGAAAGAATTATAAAGATTTATGACATCAATGCCCTGTTCGGCTTGCTGAAACTTGGCTGAAACTGGCTGAAAAACACTGTTCTGACTGAATTGTTGTGAGAGAAAAACACTGTTTCGGCTGAAAAAACAAGCCGAACAAGCCGGTTTCTGGGTAAGCCGAACGGGGTGCAAATAGATATACTATGAAAATATAATTAATGAACAACCTAATGATACTTAGTTGGTATCATAAATATTACTATGTTGCCGTATAAATTTGGTCAAACTTGAGATATTTTAAATCTCTAAGATTTTTAGAATGACTTATAATTTAGGACGATGATAGTTTGCAAAGGCGAGTAGGATAGTAGAAGTGAAAATATTGATAGCTACAAAGTTTCTATTACTTGGCTAAATATGCCTATTGTAACAAAATGCACTTGACGGTCTCTAACACAAGATATAGAAGACAATTATTTATTGTTTGTATATAGGATTTTGGATATATTATAACATCGACTATATTTTTGCATGATACTTGATGAATTGATTTAAATTCATTAAGTATGACAAACTCATATTTACATTTACTAAGAGCATCTCAAGAGTCTTCCTCAATCTCACTCTTCAAATTATTATTTAGAGAGTCATTTGCATTGCTTTTTATATCTTTTCACTCTCCAGCAGTTTTTTATATCTCGTGCTCACTCTGGAGAGTCATTCTCATTTTCTATTTTTGGTAGTGAGAAATTCAGAATAGATAGTGGTTGTATTTAGATAACCATTTAAAAAAACTGTCGAAGGGTTTCATCATAATCTCTATTCCTAGCAATTAAGAATGACATAAGGAGTCTCTTGAAGTTGCTCTAAGTGTGATAAATAATTAGTTATGTAACCTTAACTTCATCGTTGGAGTTTTTTGTCAGTGCAATTGTATTTTCTTTTTCTACATCTATTCATCAATTTGCTTGTCATAGCAGTACTCTTATATCACAAGAAATTCACGTATGTATAGTCATATGTGTAATTTTGGATCCAAAAGATTTAGTGATTTGGATGGAACGGCCTGTTCGCTTCTCTTATAATCTGTCTTTTTCAGCTTATTTTTTCAGGTGGAACAGTGTTTTCTCTCTCACAGCAAATCAGTTGGAACAGTATTTCGGTTTGTTTTTTCAGCGAGATGAACGGGGCCGATATAGCCACGTGTTATGTGATACAACCAACATTTATATCCTAATAATCGTTAGGCAAAAGTACACAATATCGCACAACATTTAGTTGCAAATTATAACTCGTCAGAAACCTTTCATCAGGGGAAAAAAACCATAATTCATATGATCCAAAAAGTCCTATTTAGTTTCCATAAATTAAGAGAAATTAGAAAGTAATCTAATAATAAAATGAGAAGCATTTGCTAGATATTGATTTTAATTCATATGATCCAAAAAGACCGTAAGTGTTGCTTTTTTTTTCTTTCTAAACTTTGCATTGCGCACAACGTTGAGAAAGAAGACACCCATTCCCAGCACAGAAAATTATTTTTTTTTCACAGTGCAGAAAATCAGCAGGGCCAAAATTTACACGATACTTCTCAATTTGCGATCAAACAGTATCGGTTGTTCTCGAAGCATATGCTAGCGACAAGTTAAAACCGCGCATAATGCAGTTGAACATGTCAAAATTCGGTTAAATCCACTCTATCTCTGTTTTTCCTTATAATATAAGGAAATCCACTCCTCTGTTAAAAGGGACCGCAAAAACCACAGAACACAAACTTCTTTCATTCAGTCCTTCAAGAGTTCAAGGAATATTGAGTCCCCGTAAACTGCTTCTCCTGTTCCTTGCCGGCGCCCTCCTCCTTGCTCTTGCTCACGCCACTGCCAGCGGCCGAGGGGCCGCCAAATCTAACCTTTCTCTTCGGCACACCCGGAGCTACGGCGTTCACTGCCGCCGCCGGAGACGGCGTGGGCTGCTGCTCCACCGGCTTGCCATCCATCCGTGCCGCGACGCCGGTGAACCGGGCCGGCTGCGGCGGGTCGTCGCTGCCTTTGCTGGCGACGACGTGCGGCGGGGGCTCCACGTAGTCGAGCGGCGGCGCGAAGTCCACCGCACAGTCCGTGTCGAGGGAGCAGACCGCGTCGGCCGGCTGCGCCTCCAGCACGTCCAGGTAGTACCGCCGCTCGCCCTCCGTCACCGCGATCGTCTCGCCGGCCGTCACGCACGGGAACTTGCCGAAGTTGTACTCCAGCCTGCACGGCAAGTTCAGAGGACAAACGGTTAGCTGAATGCTTTCACCTGCAAAGCCTGAAAATAGAAAAAAAAAATCAAAATTTCGTTGTCTGGCACTCACATTTCCCTCGGATGGGGGACATTGAGGAAGTCCTTGGTGTGTGCCTGCAGCTTGATGAAGGTGGCCTTGGGCAGCGACGTGCTCCTGACCAGCACGATTTCGTTCTCGAGGACACCCAGGTGCGCCATCAACTGGAAAATAAAAGAATACAGAGACCCAGGAAGCGTCAGCGTCAGGTTCAATAGCCACTGAATTATTAATCATGCACTATGGGTTTGCATTGGAAGGACGATTTGTAATTACCCAGCTCGGCATGTGGATGAACCCTTCGTCGGAGACGAACTCGAGCACGCCGCAGTGCGTGACGCGCTCCGTGCTGGGGTTCTTGATCTGGAACAGCATCGGGTACTGGATGTTGAGGCGAGCAAGCCGATCAAGGGCAGACAGCGGCATGATAACTGAAAATCAAGATGCAGCAACAGAAGGTTAGAACATTGCATATTTGCATCCCGCAGAAAAGGAAATTAGAATTAGAAGAAAAAAAAAACAAGGAATAAAGCAAAAAGCTTTACCCCTATTTCCGTCCTCATCTGCATTCTCCTTCTTCAGGAGAGACAAGGGCAGGCAGCGGTAATACTGCACGAACGTTTGCGACTGCAAGCGGAGATACTCCTCGAAATCCTGCACGTGAAGATCAAGCAAGATTAGTTGATCCGCCCTGCTGTCTAACTCTATCGATCCAAAATCTAAGTCGAACCATGCAAAGGAGATAATGATGATCGACTAGAATTACGCAATCAACGACTTATTTGGTCGCTTGTAGTCTGAGCAAATTTGATCGTCGTATCAACAGTAACTTAAGATCGTCTTAATTAGGCAATGCTAGTCTAAGCAACCAAGAACCCTTCACGGATTGATCAGACTACGAAAATCTCTGGAGAAAAAAAAGAGAAGGAACATGAACGTGAAAAGAATTCGTGAAGCAAATAATACCATCGTGAACTCGGCGATGTGTCGAATCCGAGCCCTTTGCTCCTGTCAAAACTTTCGCTGTATCTACGAACTTCGCACGGGAGCAGAAGAACAAAATCCAATCGGGGGCACAAGCCAACGTGAAGACTCAAATTTATGGGAGTGCTCCCGATGCATGGGAGGGGCGGCAGATCACAGTATCGGCGGCGGATTCCGCAGCACGGCCGACTTCGTCCGCGGCTCCAGGACACCAAGCCGGGCCCACGTGCCGGTGAAATCGGCACGAAAGAAAAGACACGCGCGAGCCTCATGCCACTGGCCTCTGGGTCCCACGCGTCAGCCTCTTCCGACGAAATTACGTGTTCGGCCCCGCGCCGCACCCGCTCTGACTCTGTTTTGTTTCTTCTCGTGCTCCCCTTCGCCGGCGGCTGCGCTACGCCGCGAGCCCCCCAAAACCCTAACCCTAAGTTTGGGGGACTTGGACAAAGAGAGGGGGAGGAATCGAACAGGCGACTTGTGGCGGCGGCGGGAGCGATGGCGGCGAAGCGGGAGATCTCGAGCACCCTGAGGAACCTGAAGGTGAGGAGCCCCTGTCCGTTGCCCGCCTCGGTTCTTCTGTCGCCGTGGATCGGCTGACATCTCAGGGCCTTTCTGTGTTTGTGTGGCGGCGGCGCAGTTTATGCAGCGCGGCGCGGCTGCGCAGAAGGTCGAGGAGAAGGCCAAGGCGGAGGTACAGGAGGAGGTGGTGACGGCGCCGAGTGGAGGCTTCGTCTCGTCAGCGCAGGTCGTTAGGAAGTGGTATGGAGATTAAAAGCTTGTTTTTGTTTTCATTCTTTCCTGCTGTTATGGTCTTCTACTTGATCAACATGGTTCCGGAGATTTGAGAGTTCAGTTCAGGCTAGCATGAAAACTGTGTACAGTGAACATGTGCATTTTAGTTTTGGTATATCTTTCCATCCAATTAAAATGACTGTTCATGGCATGTTGGATGAATATTGCAGCTTTTTTTCCCAACAGTGATAATAACTGGACAGAAATGGACATGAAGATGCTTGTGTGATTATGGCAGTAGGATTGTAGGAGTGTTAGAATAGTGTTACATACTTGTGTGGCACGATTATCCTCATACATTGCCCCGTTCGGCTTACCTTAAAGCCGGCTTGTTCGGCTTCTTTTTTTCAGCCGGAACAGTGTTTTCAGCCAGTTTCAGCCAAGTTTCAGCAAGCCGAACGATTATAGCTACTAATGTCGTGTGGAAAATTCTTGATAAAACTAGCTTTCATGTGCAGGTGCTGATTAAACTGGTACTGTTTCTCTATGCAGCATAGTTATCATGGAGGGTAATCCTCACCCAGGAGCTATAAAGGGTCGGATGTCTTTCCAAAATTTCAATCCATCTATCAATGTGAGTTTGAAAGGTTGTTTTTGTTGCATATGCCATTCTGGCAATTATGTACTTGTAGATTTGTGTTCCCTTACACAATCCTAGATGTGTATAGAAACTAAATGAAGAGGCAAGAGGTGACCGCCAGACAGAATCAGCTTCCCCCAGTAATCGTGACCAAGACAGTGCAAACTCCAGCAGGTTAGCTATTTCTCTGTTATGTTACTTTAGTAAATTCAATCTGTCACAAAATATGTTTCTTGGTAATTATTAAATGATAAGCGCACCTAAATAAGAAAGAGCTGGAATGCTTATAAACTAATCACTAATAACTGTCCGCGTCATGATATGAGACAAGTTTATATCAACATTTTAGATATTATAACACTTGGTTTACTGGATACTCATAATTGATAATTGACACCAATGTCAGGATGAAAATTTCTAAAATCGTATGGAATCCATTTGTTGAGATATTATTTGGACTTCCCAGATTCGAGTTTTGTATCTGTTAACGGACTATATACTAACAGTCTTCTCGTTGTATTGTTTTACTGAATGGGGATGATGGAAATTGCAAAGGTTATTTAATTTTAGAAAGTTTTGTGTATATGCTATGAAAGCTTCAGGATCTGCATACATGCTTACAAAAGCTCATTCTCTATCGTAGTGCAAATGGCCTGTCAAAACCAGATTCAGTTTTATCACTAAATAGTAGGCTGTAGGCCATACAAAAGGTTGTGGATGTAGTATAGCATCTACAGTTCTGTACTTCAATATCAGATTACTTCTGTAGTTTTTCTATCTATGAAATGTATATTGATGGATGCTTCATCTTTACTTGATATATGGTTGATATGAATTTGCATGTGATACCTTTTGCAATGAAATGCAGAGGGGATGAAGTTCCAGCATCGAGATCTAGAGATTTTGACATTCCCAGTTCAGAAAGCATATCTCTGAATGAACTGAAAAGGAAAGAGCCCAAACTTGATATGGAAACACTGCCATCTTATAAGGAACCAAAAACGAACATTGATGGTAGGTCATCTTCGCAAAGCAATGGTCGTGGATCAAACAAGTCCAACAAGCGTGAAAAGCTCGACTTCAATCATCTAAGACCAAAGAAATAAAAGTCGCATTCGAGTTACCATAACTATGAGTAGCTCTTGTACTTTGTTTGTAGTTGTACCCAATTGGCCATTTGCCATGTTTTGTCGATTATATATGTAGAGGGCTGGTAACCATGTCCATGTGGCATGCCTGTTCTTAACTTTAGTGAGATGGTGTTAATCATTATATTTCTACTCCATTACTCTGTTGTAAGGTGTGAGTATCTGCTTTAGAGCAGTGAGGAATACAGTTCTGCTTATGTTTTATGCCTCACACATTGTTGGCGAGGTGGTGATCGTTGCGTTTTGCACTGTGTTGCATCCTCCATTTAGGCCCCGTTCGCTGGTCTGAAACTGGCTGAAAAACACTGTTCTGTCTGAATTGTTGTGAGAGAAAAATACTGTTTCGGCTAAAAAAAGAAGCCGAACAAGCCGAATATGAGGTAAGCATAACATGGCCTTAATTGCAAGCGAATTCCAACCTTGCCTCATCTTTTGATGCCGCCCTTCATTTCTCTTGTTGCTGTGTCCCTAATGTATTGGGACTCGCCTGTTGCACATAACTTGTTTAGTTTTCACCTGTCCCACAGCCTGTTCGTTGCTGGATCGTGAAGAAGTACTGCTGGCTGGTTTGGTGTGAGAGAAAAACACTGTTCCGGTTGAAAATTTACGATCGTTTACGAGGGAATAATCCCAGCCGAACAGGCTGCCAAAAGGTGAAAGCTCGTTACATATTCCACATGGAGGTCTTGAAAGGTGGATTGACCATCCGAAGGAGACCTTTAGGGGTACCAGTGTACCGTGGAATCCTTAGTTGAGATACCAATATGTGGAGAGGTAGAGGAAGACCGAAGCTAATATGGAGGAGACAATAAAAAGAAATTTAAAGGGTGGAATATACTTAGAGGTCTTTGTTTAGATAGGAGTGCTTAGAAAGCAGCTATCGACGTGCTGAATCGTGACTAGGAGCTCATGTTGGGTTTCAACTCTAACTTAGCTTGCTTGGGACTAAAAGGCTTTGTTTGCTCAGGTGGTGGTGGTGTTGTTTGGTGGAGGTTCTGAAAGGAATTTGACACTAACGATTTTATGCGATTCCTTCATATAGAAATCTTCATTCTAAGCACCCCTTGGAACTTAGGAAAATGAAATATGTTTTTTTCTATGAAAATAAATTGATTTCTGAAAAATTCTTGTATAATTCACGCGTTACAAATCGAAGGATTTTTCTTGGCTGAGAGAAGGCTCCAATTTTGCATCTAAAACACGTTGGCCCCACTTGTCAATGACCGATGTCGTCCAGATGTCTACTCGATTTGTTTCTCCAATTCTTCTCTTTCAAGTTTCCTCCCGGCACATCGGCGTAAGGCGCTCAAAGCTAAACCCTAGTTTGAACCTGTACTAGCCGGCGACGGCGGCGGTGGAGCGTGGGATACCCGGAGATGCCGGCGGCGTCTGTGGTCGCGACGGCCGTGGAGAGGCTACAGACGGTGGCACAGGACGCCGCCATGTCCTCGTCGCGCTCGGCCGTCGCCTTTTCCGAGCAGGCGCAACAAACCCTCGTGCCCAGGGCCGCCGGGTAAGCCGTCTCCGCTGACTCCTGCCTCCATCTCCTCTCGATTCGACGCATCCGCGGTCATGAGATTTATGCTTGCTCTGTTGTTTGCCCTGATTTGGTATGGCCACGCGGAATTTGCAGCGTGCTTCTTCCAATCCCCAGTAATAATAATTAGAGCTGTACTTCTGATCTTATTACTGTACTTAATGGAATCAGTTTACTTCCAGCCAGTTTGGCTTACGTTTACACAAGCAGTATGAGGTAGTATCGTGCGATATTGGTGATTCATGGTTTGGTAGGCAATGTACTTTAATTATAACTTCATGTTTCCAGTGGTTTAAATTATATGAAGGGCAACTGGTGGTTTTCACCGGAACCTTCATGTAACCAAATTTCCAAAAGAGAAGCATAAGAAATCCCTTGTCTGAAGCTTACAGTTACTGTCAAGTTAAACTGAAAGCGGTAGCTTGATGTATTGAATTTTATAGGTTTAAGAACTTCAAATGACTACTACTACTGAAAAAAAACAATTCTTAGAGTTGTCTTAATTCAAACTTTTTAAAGTTTGACCGAATTTATAGAAAAGAGCGTTAAGATTTATGACACGAAATTAGTATTATTGGAGGCACCATAAAGTATATTTTCAGAATATGCTCATTTGGTGTCACAAATATTTGTACCTTTTTCTATAAATTCGGTCAAAAATGAAAAAGTTTGACATAAAGGCAACTTGAGGAATTGATTCATTCAGGCATGGAGTAGTAGTTACTTGTGTTTAAACTTTTAAGTGGAGGTAAGATTGAAAGTGGTAGCCAATCAGTAAAGCTGGTGTATCAAAGTTCTTATGAGTTTTAAATCCTAGAATATCTGGCCAGTGTTCAACTTTGTCTGTGATTTCAGCTGAAGCAAACAGTGTTTACCCCTGAACTCCCCGAACTGCAAATTTGTAACAAAATATGGAGAACACCAATGTCACTCTATGGTTATCAATGTTAGGAAACCTGAGCTTAGCGTCAGTTATATGTTATTCATATTGTACATGGACTATGTGAGCAAAATCAACCGTCGTGAAAATGTGGTTAGCCTGAAGAAACCAGTAGTACAGTGTTTTTATAACTGTTGCTGTACTTTAAACCTGTCATGAAAAGTGCTGCTATGTTTCTCCTGATGTTAATTTATTCTGCATTGCAGCCGGGTTGTTTCTTTGTCAACATGTACAAAGGTCAGCGCCATTAGCTTTGCTGTTGGTATTGTGGTGGGGTTCACGCTCAAGAAAAGGCTACGCAGATGGGCTGCTAGACTGCTGAAGAGAATTAAGGACGATGACTAGTGCGATCTTTTCCTCATTGTCTTTGGAATTTGTTCAGAACTATGGCTACTATGTACCTCAGCATCTTGTGTAGCCAACTCCTTTTGTGCTTCCACAGATTTGCTATGAATGCTGGTTTATGAATCATCAGTTCATCACATTACAGCACCGTTAAATGTGCAAATGGTGATATAACGTCGCTAATTGTGTATGATCGCTATCATTTTGTATGTGGCACGCGCACGCTATATATATATTTTATATTAACGGAGAAAATATTAGCGAGCAGAAATATATAACTGTTTTTGTATATATGGATGGATTATGCAGGATCTCGAAGGGAGGCCAACAAGACAGTCGGTTCGTACAGACACAGTTGTTCAGAGAACGGACAATCTTTCCCTAATATTAATCTGGTGACAATCTTTCCCTAATATTAATCTGGTCATGGCATATTTTGACGAGCTACTATTATCTTTCTAGATAGGGAACACTTTTCTAGGGCAACAGGATTCTTTCATATGTCTCTCCAACAACGGGGTTCTTTCATACACCTCTCTCCAGCTAAAACAAGAACAAAGACACGCGCAGATGTTTTTGCGACTAGACGAAAGAACAACAGAGACTTTTAAAGATGAACTACTTCACAAAAACAGACGTGTTTACATATGACTTTCCTTTTCGGGAGGCCGTGAACACATGAACTACAAGAACGGACTTACCTCACTATAGAGGGCACTGTTCCTGCTCAGGATTACAGAGACTACAAGTTGGAACGGAGAACTAGAACTATAGCACCTGCTCTCATACGGGAAACTAGGACTACATCACCAGCTCTCATACTTGCGTTGTGCTCCTGGACTCTTACTTCCTCTGTTGCTGCTCCTTCGTTGATGTTGCCTTTTGTACTAGCTTTGAGGGTTTTATTGTTGTACACCTGAAGAACAGTTGTCGTGCTCCATAGCACCACCGTTTGGCAGGGGTTGCATGCACTCCAACCTATAGGCGTCATCAAGTACAGTGCTCCGTGCACCATGTTACTCATACTTAGTATTCCTCTTAAGAGCAATTACAATAGTTGGCTTAGAGCCAAACAAATGTTGACGTAGAGGACAGAATAGAGGAGAGTTCGGCTCTCATGCAAGCAACAAGTTAGGCACGGGAGCTTATGCAGAAAGTGGGTCTAAGTAGCAAGTGTTACCAGGAGGAATAGGTGAGAGAAACTTTTTGAAAACAAATAAGAGACAGCTACAATATAACTTGACTCTTATAACTTGACTTATAGCCAAGCATTTGGCTCCATTATTGATCTTGCTCTAATCGTGTGGGATTTGATGATGACCAGACTTTGAGGTTCTCCCGTGCTTTCCTCGTATGTTGTGTTCGAGGAATGTCTTTCCTCATGGCTTGTAATCAAGGTCCTTGTATATTGTATGCATCTTTCCTCATGGCTTTTAAACGAGGTCCTTGTATATTGTATTCACCTTTTCTTGTGGCTTGTAATCGAGGTCCTTGTATATTGTATTCACCTTTCCTTGTGGCTTGTAATCGAGGCACTGGATTCCGCTGGTGTCATGATTATATGGATATTTTGTGTTGCACGCGTTCAACCTCTCACATGACGATTAGGTTTACTAGATTCCACAAGTGTCATGATTATATGTATATGAGCATGGAGTAGATATTTTGTCTTTTCTAGATATATCATTTTTATTATGTATCTAGACATGTATATCTAAGTGTACAGTAAAAACTATATCTAGACAACCAAAACGTCTTATAATTTACAACGGAAGACATACATGATTGAGGATACCATGATTATGTTGATCCTTCTACTTTGCACAAGCACAAGGCAATTCTGAAAGAGATGGAAGGTGCGGAGGAGTCGTGTGCCGTGCGATACTTCGTGGACAGGTGTCTTCCATCCGAGCCAGGTATGCACGGGAGCCAGGACTCGGGAGCCGGGACTCGGGAGACAAGAGCTGGCGGAATCTGCGCATCCGGGCATCCAACCATCCACAAATAATTTTCTTCGCTCACCAGTCACTAATCAGGCAGTCACCACTCTTCCTCCCGCCGTCTCATTTCTCTCCACCCCCAGTTCTCTGCCCAGGGTAGCGCTCTCCTCCTGCGCCATCAGCCGCCCTCCTCTCCGCCGCGTGACGCCCGTGAAGAGCCCCCTTCTAGCATAGATGGCCAACTGGCCGGCCCGGTCCGACACGGCACGGGCCCGTGCTAGGCACGGCCCGATAGGGCACAGCACGAAAAGGCCCATCGGGCCACCGGGCCGTGCCGCACTAGTCCATCGTGCCTGGCCGACTGCCTAGGCATGGCCTATGAGGCCAATTTCTGTGCCAGGCCGGCCCGACGAGCATGACCTTTTTAGCAGATCGGGTCAGCCCGAGGCCCACCAAATGCGATAGAGAGGAGGGGGAGGCGAGGAGTGGAGGTGGCAGCGGCCGCCGGCGAGCTCCCCCTCGGCTCGCTTGATGCCAGATCCGGCGAAGTAGCTGGCGGAGGAGGCGAGTCCGACGAAGTAGCGGCCGGATCGAGGGCGTAGAAGGCCGAATCGAGGCCGCTCTGCTCGAAGCTGCTGCAGGGGGACGCGGAGGAGGTGGCCAGACGCGCGGGGGTCATGGAGGAGGCGGCCGTTGCCGTGCTCGACGTCGGTGCTGCTGTCGCGCTGGACTTCAACGTGGTCGAGGGACGGGGAGGAGCCAAGGAGGAGCGGGGTTGGCGCGCGTGGAGGGGATGGAGGCCACTCCGCTCGAAGCCGTGCGGGGGGCACGGAGGAGGCAGCTAGAACCAGACGCGCGGGGGGCCGTGGAGGCGGCGGCCACCGCCGCTGAAAGGTCCTAATGGCTAGAGGGGGGTGAATAGCCTAATAAAATTTCTACAACAACACTTAACAAAAAGGATTAGACAATTATGAGGCGAAGCGAGTTTTGCGCTAGCCTACCAAAATACAAGCCACCTACCACAATTCCAGTTTAGATGAAGTATATCCACACAATAGCTATATCACTACACTAAGATAGTGTGCTCTCAAAAGCTAACTAAAGAGCCACACTAACCAAACTAACAAGCTCTCACAACTAATTACACTAAAGAGCTTGACAACTAGTTTACGGTAATGTAAAGAGTAGGCAAGAAGGTTATACCGCCGTGTAGATGTATGAACCAATCAATCACAAGTGTGGATAACAATGAAGACCAATCACCTCGGAATCAATGATGAACACAATGATTTTTTTACCGAGGTTCACTCGCTTGCCGGCAAGCTAGTCCTCGTTGTGGCGATACACTCACTTGGAGGTTCACACGCAAATTGGCTTCACATGCCAAACCCTCAATAGGGTGCCGCACAACCAACACAAGATGAGGATCACACAAGCCACGAGCAATCCACTAGAGTACCTTTTGGCGCTCCACCGAGGAAAGGTCAAGAACCCCTCACAATCACCATGATCGGAGCCAGAGACAATCACCACCCTCCGCTCGACGATCCTTGCTGCTCCAAGCCGTCTAGGTGGCGGCAACCACCAAGAGTAACAAGCGAATTCTACAGCGAAACACGAACACCAAGTGCCTCTAGATGCAAACACTCAAGCAATGCACTTGGATTCTCTCCCAATCTCACAAAGATGATGAATCAATGATGAAGAAGAGTGGGAGGGCTTTGGCTAAGCTCACAAGGTTGCTATGTCAATGCAAATGGCCAAGAGAGTGAGCTTGAGCCGGCCATGGGGCTTAAATAGAAGCCCCCACAAAATAGAGCCATTGTACCCCTTCACTGGGTACAGCGCGGGGTGACCAGACGCTCCGGTCATACTGACCGGACTCTGGACCCAGCGTTCGGTCGTCCGATGTTAGCCACATGTCACACTGCGTTCAACAGGAGTTGTCTGATCTCAACGGTCATCGGTTGACCGGACGCTCCACTACAACTGACTGGACTCTCAGCCTCTAGCGTCCGGTCGTTTCCAGTAAGGTTCCAGAAATGATATTTCACGACCGGACACGTCCGGTCATGCTTGACCGGACCCTGCCAGCGTCCGGTCACACAGTGACTTTCTTCTGCGCCGTCTGACAACACGACCGGACATAGCCTTCCAGCGTCCGGTCGTTGAGTGACCCAACATCTGGTCGCTTACCGACGCTGGCGTCTTCACTGCTATACATGGCCGGACGCGCCGGTCCCCCAGAGGTCCAGCGTCCGGTCACTATATAGCCAGCGACACTAACTCTTTTTTACTTCAATCTTCTTCACCCTTGCTCAAATGTGCCATCCACCAAGTGTATCACCTTGTGCATATGTGTTAGCATATTTTCACAAACATTTTCAAGGGTGTTAGCACTCCACTAGATCCTAAATGCATATGCAATGAGTTAGAGCATCTAGTGGCACTTTGATAACCGCATTCCGATATGAGTTTCACCCCTCTTAATAGTACGGCTATCAAACCTAAATGTGATCACACTCTCTAAGTGTCTTGATCACCAAAACAAAATAGCTCCTACAAAATATAACTTTGCCTTGAGCTTTTTGTTTTTCTCTTTCTTCTTTCCAAGTCCGAGCACTTGATCATCACCATGGCATCATCTTCATCATGCAATGATCTTCCTTTACTTCACCACTTGGAGTGTGCTACCTATCTCATGATCACTTGATAAACTAGGTTAGCACTTAGGGTTTCATCAATTCACCAAAACCAAACTAGAGCTTTTAATATCCTCATTTTTGGTAATTGATGACAACTCTTATATAAAGATATGAATTAGAATTCAATTGAATTCATGTTGCTTGTCCAAGCATTTTTACCATTTGTAAAAGGATATGAACAAGTTTCATGAACCCTATATGGTAGCAATTGCTCCCCCTATATATGTGCTAAAAGTTTGGATTGTAGCTTGCACATATGATTAGATAGGAAATATAGGAGACAATGTCTACCAAATGATGCTAAGGTATAAAAGATGGACCTTTAAAGCGTGATACCAATCGGAGTGCACCATAA